GATTGAATGACTTTTCATTTATATGTATGTCAGAATTATCATATGAATCGCAATGAAAATTGGTATCGTAATCGTTAGATTTTGAGGCTTGTTCTGGTAAACTTTCAATTTGTATATGTGAAGCTTCTATATTTTTATTTATTCCTCTTACGTAATTATTATAACACGGTATTTTATGATAACCAGCTCCTACTGATGATAAATCAAACACACCACAAAGTGCTAAACGATTTTGTACCTCTAAGTCGTTTTTTCTTATTGCAGCTTCTAAAACTTTAGTTTTTATATTACTTCCGATGCCTACACGCTGAAGAACTGAGTTTCCTTTTTCTTCGAATTGCCGCAGAGAAAACAGAATGACTGCCAATAAAATTCATTCGAGGTTGAACGAAGTATTTTTTTCGAATATTCATCTTGTTTCAAATTTTCTGTACTTCGTTTTTTCAAAGCCGATGATTTTTCTTCATCCATGATGATTCGATATTTACTATACTATCATGAGTATCATGTACACACTAGCTATTGGGAATAATAAATATTGTATTAAATAATGAATAGCACAAGACTATTTTTCGATTGTTTACAGACTAATAAAGGATTGTTGCACTATGACAGCACAAATAAGTATTGTAGAAAATGTATTATTTATTTTTTATACATTATTTGTCAAATGTTCACTGTNTTAGCCCAGAAGTCGGAGACTTGTGCGGGAGAGGAGGCGGCATATTATTATTACGCAGGCCGCATTTGCGCCCAGGAACGACTTATGTTGGTAGGCCCTAACCACCATTCAGTGCAGGAATGAGGGAAACCTGGAAAACCTCATTAATTAGGGGGGTGGTCAAATGCCAACCGGTGTCAATCTCTCACATTGACCCAAGCCAACATTCTTCCATCCTACCATACCTGCACAGAGGGCGCCAATCCTCCGTACAAGTATAGATAGTCTACGGTCTACCGGCCGCGGGATTCGAAACCCGGGCAGTTTGACACATATAGTTATTATTATTGAAGCTACATTAATGAAGATACAGTTATAAATATAAATCAATATATATTTGTAATGTAATACATATCTTCCGTTTAAATATGACATTCATATTATTAATCTTATAAATAATTATATGATATACAACATTTGATGAATTTGAAAATATGTATGAGTGTTAGAAATACTAAATAGTAAAAATTGTAACAAGTAATTAATGAATAACGTTTATTCGATTATATGGACGACAGCGCTATATCTATATATAGCGATACGTAGGGGTGGCGCGTGAGCACTAGCGGCCGAAATTCAACTGCAAATTTAACGGGTTAAAAAAAAGGGGCGGGTTTAAAAAAATACTACATTAAAGTATAAATCCCGAAAATCATTTTGCGCTTTTGAACGTTCCGAAAGCTTTGGTATGAGCTGAGATATGAATTTTTAAATTTGGAAACTTTTAACCATTTTTCGACCTTAAATCGCCCGTAGCTCGAAAAGGAAGCGTTTTACAAAAAAAATGTCAAGAGACAAAAAGTGTTTATTTTTGCCCACTTTACATTGAAAAATTTGCAGAGCGTTTTTTTCGCAATATTTTTATTTTGCAACTTTTTGTTAATAACAAATTACCTGCCACTCGGACACAAAAATGTTACTTAGATTTTTTGTTCGCAATAACTCAATGCATCGATTACAAAAGGTTTCATCCTGGCCCCTCCTCGTAATAATCACTCGAGTGGTGGGAGTAAACATCTCGAGATATCTCGAGTGATTTCAATAATCGAGTACCACTCGATTTTTCACTCGAGATCTCCCATCTCTAACAAGTTTAGTACTTTTCCATAAGACGATTTTTCTCGTGCTTCCAATTGAATTTATTTATCAGCAATTAATAGTAGGTATTATATCTCACACATTTAATTAAAATATCAGTTTCTGTTGGGATTTTAAAAGTGTGAAGTAGCGCTAAAGTTATTAGCGAGCTAAAGTGTAGATTTTAAGTCACTAGTGTAGAAATATACAGTGAGTAAAAATTGTGAGATTTTTGACAACAACCATTTAATTTTTGTTTTTTTTTTTTAGGACAATCTAATGATATTGATAACATTTTAAAATTATTTTTGTCCTAGAAAGCAGTTCAAATAAAATTTGGGTGCAATTTAGTATTAAACATATGAGTGTTTAGTTACATATAAGTTACCCGTAAAATTTACTAAACTTTTCTTGTGTAGGTAATTTGTATAACGTAAGCTTATTAGCAGGAATAACAAAAAAATATTTTATATCCATATTTAAGTATTCTTTAGGAAATTATAAATTTATTTATGTTTGCAGGAACCTTTATTTATAAATTGAAAATAATGCATATATTGTCACTGAATTAATCAAACGAACAAGAAAAAAATAACTAGATGTTTAATTTACTTCAATTACTATTGTAATAGCATTCTATTGATGTTAAATGCCTAAGTACGCAGATATATTAAAAAAACACATGGGCAAAGCTATATAGATATTTTCAATATTTATACAATACCTATAACTGAATAATATAGTTCAGCTAACAATATTCGTTATTTTTTCAGGAATTTAAGTAAGTGAAAAAATTACGTTTTATGAACTTATATCTCTTTGGGGCCCTTTATTGCTTGAGAGTATATCCGATATTCTATATTATATTTTCTACAGCACGGTAAAATTAAATTAGGTAGCGTAAAATAGGTAATTAAAAAAATACACATAAAAGATTTAATTATTATTATTTAGAAGAAAAGGTTTAGAAATGTAGAAAACTAATTGTAAAATAGGGTTGATTTTTATGTTACTGATTTCTGCTTAGGTACTAGGTACCTATTTAGTTAACTAAAAAGCAGGACCGGTTTCATATATTTATTCATTCTGGAGAAGATGTAATTACATCGCTACCACGTGACATACTTGACACAGAAAATTCGGTACAGAGTTTATGGGGTTTAAATTAATCAATCAAAGAAAAAAACAACACCTTATTACTTTTCCTCTTTCCCCCTTTTATTTCTGTATTATATTATTATATACCAACTATATTATCGTTTAAAACATATCCTGCATTGATATTTTATATCTACTAGATTAATCGTCACTCTTTTTATATTTATTAGCTTAGATTAGCTAACAGGTATTTTCAGTTTTCAAATATTGACTTGCAAATGTAATATGTAGTTAGAGTGGCCGTCGGCAAAACTTTTATTGATAGATACCGTCTCCAAACTTCTTATATAGCTTCATGAGGCCTAGTCTGACACCTTTTTCCTCTGTGACTTTTTTCGATTTTGGGGCGTTTTCCCTCAAATTTTTCCGGAATACGTCGTTTTGACGAAATATGAAAAATTTATACTGTTTTTTTAAAAATTGAATAGTTTGAAAACTTCAAATGAAACGTGAAAATAAAATTCTCTGACGAAAGATATAAGCCGTTCAAAATCCAATCACCTAGAAACTTATTTTAACATTCACAAAAATAAATTTATTAGACAAAATAATACCGAAAGTAATAAAAATTTTATAAAAATAAGAAAAAGTATCGTTGGTTAAATTGACATATCTCTGTTGATTTTAATTGTACAAACTTCTACCAGGCACCATTTTAAAGGTCTTGAAACCAGGATTCATTTGAATATGGCATTACATATGCCTAAATTAACTCAGAAAAAAGTTATAAGACGAAAATCGTCAAAAAAGGGCAAAAATTGGCCAAAAATCCAAAAAGTAGCCAACTTTGATCCAATGTATCTCGGTTTCTATACGTCGTAGGTACTTTTATAAACGCTTATTTTAAAGGAAAAAACATTAACTTTTTTTTCTGTGAAGCTATGCCTATACCTAACTCCTCTCAGAAAAATGTTGTGGGCCAAAACCAAAAAGAAGAAAAAAACGCATTTTTTCGGTTTTTTTACTCGTTATTTGGGCATATTTTATTAAAAATAAATACCACCTTTTTACTTCGTTCTCAAAAACGCACCCCTTTAAAAGGTAGCACTCCGCGGTTTTATCATTTTTTAGGGCCAATTGAACATATCAAACAATAAAATTTCTGTTACGTTGTAGTTCCTATCTAAAGTACATAGTCAATAGCTTATAGTGTGATACCTAATCTTTTAGATATCAGTTATCAGTTTTTCAAATATTAATATTCTTTGATAAGTAATAATAAATCATTTAATTAGAAAAAGAAATTTATGAATGAAGTTAGAATTGTTTAGTTTAGACAAAAAGAATACATTAAATTGTGGCACCTACATACAGGGTCGGAAAGTCAGCATGGTTCATCGGCCGTTACGTGAGAGCGATAAAGAAAGTCATAGAAATTCGTGCGATAGAGAAAGATGGCTATAATGAAAGCGTCTAATAGTCACCGCCCATTTCGCCCTTCCACAAATAAGATCCACTTCTTATTTGCTCTCACGTTACGGCCGATGAACCATGGGGACTTTCCGACCCTGTATAAATCAATATCATCAACTGATTTTTATTTCAAGTTTTTTTTTTTGCTAAAAAATCTATTGTTGCTGTTAAAATACCACACAAATATTAAAGGTGCATTAAAATTTTATCAGACATTAATACGAGTATTTTAAAAAATTAAAAAGTTTTTTCTCAGGTATACCTCTCTGCTCTCTGATAATACCACATATTTTCTATATACTTAATTTAATTTCAGAATACGTCATTTCAATTTCATCCTAATGATTTTCATTTCGCAAAATTCGTTAAAAAAAATTTTAAATCAGTTGGATTTCATTATTTTATTTGGTATACCTCACAGCTTTGACTTTGGCTCTTTAACATTTATATCGTTTATATTTATCATTCATTTGAACTCACCACAAACATCGAATGTTAATAATTTTTATGCGTTCATCAGTTAAAAGTTATTTTCCGTTGCGTCATGTTACGATTACTGTTGCTTTACTATAAAACTAGCTTGATAATATTATTATGGTGTGGTCTCTGGCGAATAATTGAACAGCGAATATTGTTACGTGTGTATTGTGTACTTAGGGTATAAATAATCAATATTGACTAAATATAAAGTGATTAAAGGTCTAGAACTATACAGGGTGATCCATTAACGGTATCGAGCGGCTGTATATAGGAAACTAGACGTGCTACGATTATGGGGTAAAAAATATATTAACAAATACGGCCAAGAGATATTGATTTAAAGTATTTTCAAGTTTGTAACATCACCGCTAGGGGGCGCAACTGTTATAGTGTTACAGAGAATTGTCGGTTTTTCGAAATTTCGCCTATATAACCGATGTTGAAAATGCACTTTTTAGATACACTGTTTAACCCTTCACAAGTTTTGTTTGAATTTTTTTTTGTTATTACCATAGCAACGCCAGTATGAAGGACGCCATCTTGAAATTTTCATATTGTCATAACTTCTAAATGCCTTAATCGATTTCAATAAACGATAGCTCATTTTAAGTTATTGCTAAAATAGTGAAGTTCTGCTAGAATATCCTCCTTTATTTAGCCAAAATTAAATTGTAATTAATTGTAAAACTATACAAATCTTGTCCTTCTTATAACTAGTCTTTATAAAGAACCTAAACCGAAAATCAATTTATAGTGTATATACTTTATGATCAAACTTTTGAAAAATCATGGCATCTGTCGATGACAGCTGACAAAAGTGTACAATTGACATTACTTATGTTTTATTTCAGAAAGAGGCACAAAACATAAGAGGTACATAACCAACATTTATGGACACTTAATATTGAAATGGCAATTACATTAAACTTTTCGAGCATATGAGTTAGGTGCTTAGAAATTAAAAAAAAAAAACAATACCATATTTCACTTAAAGTGATAGGTATATGATGGAGGAAGTAAACTATTCTGCAAAAAATGTCAACGAAAAGAGACATCCATTGGAGAGTGCTAACATATTAAAAAGAACATGTTTCTGGTAAGTAACAAAGCCAACTTATCATATAAAGACCTATCTCATTCTTTATAACTGTACAGGGTTATACGGCACGAAATATTGTGGACAAAATACGAGGCTTTCAAAAGTTTCTCCTTTGGGATATATGGAGGTCTATTACGGTTACCTATTAAAATTATTTTCGTATTATACAGGGTGTCTCAAATGTCCTAAAAGTATAAATGTTGTGTTTTTTTTTAATGGAATCCCCTATATAATATTGCATTTTTGGAATTTCCGATCTTTATAAGTGTCTGTTTTAATAAGGTTTATTCGATTAATTTAAATTTTTGTACTCCTTGTAGGTATGGCAAGTTTATTATGATTGGTATATAAAATATGTTCTATTGTTACAATTCAATGTACTTAAATTTCGCTTAGGCACATACTTGCTATACTTCTCAAGTATATAAAACAAGAAAATTAGGTTACATTTTGATAAAATTCAAATTATTAAAAAAAAAATAGGGTTTAGATATTATAAACCTTATTAAAGCAGATACTTATCCGAGAATCCAAGAAAGCAATAATATATAGGGGATTCCATTAAAAAAAGCACAACTTTGATACTTTTATGACATTTGGGAGACCCTGTATAATATGAAAATAATTTTAAAAAGTAACCGTAATAGTCCCCCATATACAGGGTGTTTTCACTTTAAATTTGTAAAATGCAGGAATGTATTCCCTATCAAAAATTAAGTGTAGTTTGCTCTATAAAATTTTTTTATGAAAGCCTTTGTTTTGGAGATACAGGGCGTTGAAGCTTAAAAAAAACACTTTTTGACATATCGGCTATCCACGAGTAGATTTGATTTAAACTTGGTACACATTATGCGTATTGGGGGTTATCATAATTGACAGAATATTAGTCCTATCGCAAGAGCCAGTGGCGTGCAAAGGGGGGATGCGTGGCTCCTTTTTCAAAAAAAAAAGTACGCCATTGAGTTTTTCGAAGAATGTAAAGTATATTGGTATTTTTCGGTAATACGCAGCGTTCATGAGATTTTTGGACTATTAAGATTTCAATGCATGATAACATGGCACGGTAGTCCTGAAATGTAAATGTGATAGATAGCTGTGCCTAAATTTGTTGCAAATGTCAAATTCGTATTAGTTATTATCAAGTTCTTGTCAACTAATTCCGAATATCTGGAATTAGTATTAATTTGTCTTACACTTTCATAATAAATAAGTGTTCGCACAATGCCGCTGTATTTTACAAATAATGAATATGCAGATATTCACTTTGTGTATGGCTTTTGTGATGGTAATGCTGATGCTGCTGTAAGAGAATACCAACGGAGATTTCCAAGTCGAAGGCTTCCAAGTGCTCCAGTTCTTATTACCACTCACAGACGATTTTCAGAGTATGGATTTGGTAAATGATAGAGAGGTTAATCAAAATCCACGAGACGGCAATCGAATACTCCATTTGTTTGACAATAATAATACTTTGACTACAAGAAAAGCTGTTGTTCAGCTTCAAATATCTTCAACCAAAGTATTTAAAACCCTGAAACGTGATCACCGTACAGCTTTTCACTATAAGCCGGTACAAAATTTACTGCCAGGAGACGCCGAAAAAAGAATTCATTTCTGCAGATGGGTTTTAGAATCTTATGAAGAGGACAATGATTTTCTTCATAAAATCTTATGGACCGATGAAGCAACATTTACAGGACGTGGAACTGTTAACTACCATAATATTCATTTATGGTCACATAAAAACCCCCGAGAGGTGCGTCCCTCTTCATCCCAGAATGAATTTAGTTACAATATTTCGTTAGGTTTATTTCACAACACCATTTGCGGACCCTACTTTTTGCCGCCGAGATTGAACGGTAATCTTTTTCATGATTTTCTTGAAAATGATTTTCGAAACTTACGAGACATTGCCTTTGATGATGTGCCACTAAATTTACGACAAAATAGTTGGATACAGTTAGACGGAGCTCCTCCTCATTATGGTCGGCATATTTCGCAGGGGCTGCAAGAAAACTATAACCAGCGCTGGATAGGACGGTTGCCGCCAAGATATAATGAACGACGAATTCCTTGTTTAGGACCAGTAAGATGGCCATCCCGTTCTCCTGACCTAAACCCTTTAGACTATTTTACCTGGGGAAATCTAAAAGATAAAGTGTATAGTGCACCGGTGCAAACGCGAGATGAACTAAGGCAAAGAATAATAGAACATTGTAATAATCTTAGGACAAATCAAGTACTAGTAAGTTCTTCCATTAATAGTTTAATCAAGCGATGTCATAAATGTATCGAAGCTGAGGGACTACATTTTGAGCAGCTCCTGTAAATTCAATAAATAATATAATTGTTTCATTGCATATTAATTCATTAATGTAATATTAAAATTAAATAATATATGTTTTTAACTACTAGGTGTTATTGATAGTCTTGACATCATTTTCAAGGTAATGTCGATCCACGGGGAAGTAATGAAAATATTTACAAGTTCTTGGCTTGTTGCGAAACAAAAAAGTTGCTATAAATTTTAATGCAGCATTTGGATTCAAAGAAAAATATCTCTTTTTCTCAATCAGCACTACCGTGCCATGTTATCATGCATTGGAATCTTAATAGTCCAAGAATCTCATGAACGCTGCGTATTATCGAAAAATACCAAGAGACCTTTTAGATTGCTTTTGTATGGTAGTATTTAAATTTACTTTACATTCTTCGAAAAACTCAATGTCGTAATTTCTTTTTTCATGCATTGAAATCTTAATAGTCCAAGAATCTCATGAACGCTGCGTATTATCGAAAAATACCAAGAGACCTTTTAGATTGTATGGTAGTATTTAAATTTACTTTACATTTTTCGAAAAACTCAATGGCGTACTTTTTTTTTGAAAAAGGGGCCACGCATCCCCCCTTTGCACGCCACTGGCTAATGCGATAGGACTAATATTCTGTCAATTATGAGAACCCCAAATACGCATAATGTGTACCAAGTTCAAATCAAATCTACTCGTCAAAATTTTTATAGAGCAAACTACACTTAATTTTTGATAGGGAATTCATTCCTGCATTTTCCAAATACCTGTATACCAAAAGAGAAACTTTTTGAAAGTTCGTATTTTGGCCACAATATTCCGTGCCGTATAGCGTGAATAACCTTGTACAGTAGTTATAGCATTTTAACATTTTTAAATAGTTTCTTTAAAGGGGGAATTGTAGCTATAAAGCTGTTGTTTATATGTAAATATGGGTGTTATAATTAGAAAAACAATTTCACGATGTTTTTGAGATTGTATATTAAGTTAGGGTTCACTAATGTTTTGTGAAAAAATGAAATACGCCTGTTTTTCTTAATACATATCCTTTTTCTAAATGAGATAAGCCTGCCTTTCTAAAAGCACTGTGCTTTATTCAAAATACACGTGCAAAATAAAAAAAAAAAACATTTAAAATACAGAACATTTATATTTATATGAATAAACAGACAAACTGTAATATTTTTTTTAGAAACCAGATTAGCAAGAATTCGTACCGCAAAGTATTGTTCACACAAATATAAGTTACAAAAATGATAAATATTTGTATGTAATGTAAAAAATTTAAAAAGACAGCTGTGGCAATAAAAAGTTTCAAATCTAAACTGTTTATGGTCCATTATAAAACAAGCCCTTTAGGTCGAAACCCTCTTTTTGTTCACAACTGTACCGTTTATTTAATCATTGTAGGCTTCTTTCGTTACAAAAAGTCAATAAATTTTTAAGGTATATGTTAAGATGCACTAAATTCTTGTAGTTCAATAAATTAATATTGATGTTTCTCTTCAAATGACTATGTCTATTTTTACATTATTTCAAGATACGTCTATTAGTAATAAATATTGGGTTACATTCGTAAGATTCACATTGAATTGTAGTGTAGTGGATACATCTCTTTTTAATATTCCTTTGAGGTACTTCTCTTTGTGATAATGTAATATCTAAATAATCATTGCATTTTGGTTGTGAACAGGAAGACGAGACAGTTCTACATGTGCTATGTGAATGCACTGCCGTCTCATCGACAAGAGAATCCATGTTGAGAGAATGTTGGCCTTCTATGGCCTATATTAGAGAGATACCCCTGAGCAACGTCACCACCTTCTTCTCTTTAATAGATTGGTTAACGGCTCAGATGGATTGATCTCCTAATGGGAGGAAGTACAAAGGGTTCAAGGGGGTCTAAGTACTCTACCTTCTAAGTTACCCTCTCCACAATTCCAAATCCCAAATGGCAACAATTGCATTTATATAACTTATCTATCTTTCTTACAGTTGGTTGTTACCATTCTTTATAAAAGGATATAAAGAGGAGTTAACCGAAGATGATATGTTTAGTACCCGTAAAGTACAAGATTCTGGTATACTTGGTGATAAATTACAAGAAGCTTGGGACCATGAAGTAGCAAAGAAAAAATATCCTTCTTTGTGGATGGCAATGACTAGGGTTTTTGGAGCTGAACTGCTGCTACACGCGTTCTATTTTGCGGTTATAGAAGTCGTAGTAAAGTAGGTAATAATTATTTTAATTCATCCTGGAGAGAACACAAAATAATATGTAGTTTGAGGTAGAAATATCTCTAAAGAAAGATACATGTTTAAAATTTAAAGTTAAGTAAAGTAGAGCAAAGTGCATTACCTACATTTAAGAAAATGTTTCTCTTGTAAAAATAAATAAATATTTATAAAACTTTGGTTTGGAAATTCACTATTACTAAGATACAGTTCAAATTTGTCAAAACAACGCATTTCTGGAAAAAATATCTATCAAATTTTTCTATTTCTTTTAGGTTTTAGAATATACTGCATAATAGCGATTGCATTATTTTTTATTTGTAGTAGAAACTGCAATAATTTTAACTAATAACATTAGATATAAGAAACCTTATTATTTGAAAATTGTTGCTTATAATTTAATTTGCAATTTAATTTAAATCTAGCTTAAAAATTTGCCATTTTTTATTTATTTGTGGGATTTAAATGATAAAAACTATGTTTACGTATTTTTCTGATTTATATTCATTTGTTAATACTTCTATATTGTCAATCTCGTTGAGATTTCGTAGATCCTTTGTATTTTGTGCATGATATTTTTTTTATTAAAACAAAAAGAAAATACATAATTGTTACGTAATTTACTTGAAAATTTAATAGAATATGAATGTTTGTACTTCGAAAAAGTCATAGTAGGCATGTCACACCTGTTGCACACATGCCGGATCCGGTTACCCGGCAGATCCGGCGAACGGCCGCCAGGTTGTAGCCGGTCGCCACCACTGCCAGCCCAGCTGCCGTGTACCGGCTATCCGGCGACCGAAGTGGTAGTAGTGCATAGTTTTGTAGTGACGCTTTCACACTTGCCGGGTTAAGTCGTCCGGTTTCATTGAAAAGAACAGGACGTGTCAATTATTTTTTTAAATATTTGTACGCAGCTATGTCGAATGTTTGTTCGCTAGAAGTAGATATAGCATTCTTTATATCACTGCTTGAATCCAGACTTGTCCAGTGGGACAAAACTTTAGCCTTTTCATATTTTTTGGATATTTTTCATATTTTTTGTTTTTTTTATTACGACGACATCGGCAATAGCCAAGCCACATAATTGCAATGCGTCTACGATCCATCTCATGTCGTGATAAAAATGCAACTGAGACTAATATCGGCCAAACCGGTTTGAAAATTGAATTACGTGTGAAAGAGCCAGCCGGATCCGGATAGCCGGATCCGGCAAGTGTGCAACGAGGCTTACGGTTTATGCGAAGGATTGTTCTCCCCATATCTATGGCACAGGTTGAAATGTTACATGTTGTATTAAATTTTGTGAAGCCATCGTCGTGTTCTTATAATTTTGAAAAATTGTTTTTTTTTTATAGATTACGAGGTGTGGCCATAAAATAATGAGATTAAATATTGTAAAACTTTTTATTTTAAATTTGCACATACTTAATTATTGTCCTCTTCAATCCATTGGTCAAAACAAGCTTCATCGGCCTAAAATTGTGTTCCTTTTAATGCAGATTGGACCTTGGGAAATAGATAAAAGTCACATGGTGCAAGGTCAGGCGAATAAGGCGAATGGTCGAACACTGGAAGGAACACTTGGCTAGAAATGCCTTGACAGATAATGCAGTGTGAGCCGGTGCGTTGTCCTGATGAAGAACACTACTTTTTTTCTGGTCTTTTCACGGAGTTAGCAAGAATCTCGAGGTAGTAATGCTGATTAATAGGAACTCAGTGAAGGTACACAATCCCATGTATATCTAAAAATAAACAATCGTCATTGCTTTGAATTTGCTCTCGGTGAATTTGAGCTCTACTAATGTATGGATTGAGGCTTAGTTTCTGGATCATAAGTGAAAAACAAAAATTCATCGCGTGTTATCATTCTTTCCAAGAACTTTGCGTCATTTTCAATGGCATTTAAAGTGTCACTACACATATTTTCCCGAGCTTCCTTTTGTTCCATTGTGAGAATTTTCGGCACCACCTTCGCACAATTTTTTGCATGTTCGAATTCTCGTATAAAATTTGCCTTGCGCATTCTTTGTCAATTCCTACAGTTTCAGCAAAAGCACGAATAGTTAACCGATGGTCAGATCGGATCAGATTAGCGATTTTTTCAATATTTTTATCCGTTTTTGACGTGGAAGGTCGTCCTAGAAGTGTGCCATCTTCAGCGTTTTCTTGGCCATTTTGGGAAAGTTTACACCTCCCCGAAGCATAAACATTCATTGCTATCTACTTCTTTTAATAAAAGATACATTTAAGTAGCGGTTTTTCCAAGTTTCATATCAAATTTGACCCTGTTGTAGCTTTTTTATTTTATAGCCACACCTCGCATATCTTGGAAATCGTGCATTTGCAAACCAGGATTTATATAAAATTTTTTACTTAATTTTGCCTGATTTATCTTTTAAGTTTATGCTTTTCACTACCTCGTATGACATCTTGCATAAAACTGGAAATATACTTAAATGATGTAGGTACAACTAACTCAAGAAGAGTTCTTTCCGAAGAAAATAACTTTAAACTTTTACTTTTTGAAGTATTGCCATTGAGTTCTAATTAAATTTATTTAAAATTGATTTTGTAATTTATTTGTTCTAGATTATTACAGCCCGTACTAATATCGAAACTCCTCGTCTTCTACGAACCGAACACGGAAATGACCAAAAAGGAAGCTTGTACTTACGCGGCGCTCTTGATTTTGATTTCGCTATTAAGGGTGGTGCTGGTGCACAATTATCTGCTTGAAACCTTGCAATTGTCCTTGAAGATAAAGGTAGCCAATTGCGCCTTGATTTACAGAAAGGCCCTAAAGCTGAGCAAATCTTCCCTGGCGGAGACTACGGTTGGACAGATGGTCAACCTGCTCTCCAATGATGTGTCCAGATTTAACACCGCCACACAACACGTTCATTTTGTCTGGCTATTACCGGCAGCGACAGCTCTAATTATGTACTTATTGTATATTAATGTTGGAATCACGGCCTTGGCAGGGACATTTTTCATATTGCTTTTCGTTCCTTTCCAGAGTAAGTGGCCTTTGTATTTATCTACTATTCAAAATTACATATTTAATAGCGGAATACCCGAATAAATTAAATATTTACATACATACAACAAATACAACAGGCGGGCAAACCAACTCGCATCAAAAATGTGATTTAGTAAATACTTTTAACGTTTATTGAACGTATTCCACATATTAAACGTTTACGTTACGTTAATTAGGTTTAGTGCGGTGCGGAGTTTAACAGGACCGTAGTCAGATTACAAATGAAAATATTAATATGTTTACAGAAAATATATCGCAACATAGTACTATTACCAAAGAGCAAGGCTAAGTAGAGGATAAAATACCTATATAAATTTAAGTTTTCTTTAGTGAAAATGCGACGTTTATCACTTAATATTAACTTGTGTAGGGAAAATGACCGTTCAACGTTTACTGTTAACGGACAGTATGAGAAATTATTGAACTATAGGTATATCAATATATTAGCTGGTAACTCCTGATATGTAGCAGTAACTTTACATATTATGTTTTCCAAAATGGTGTATCCTGGATTTTTTCCAACACTCTGCATTTTTTCTTTTACCGTACTACTGATAGGTAGTCCATGTGATTCCAATTTACGGAATTACGAAACTTGGGGTTCTCTAGTTTGTTTAATGGAATATTGCTTGAAGTAAGGGCGTCTGTAAGTTCATAGAAAAATGCATCAGCGTTAAGACGATGCATGGCTCTTCAAATGTCTTGTCACTTTAGTTTTGTCATAAGAATTTATAATGCATTCATACACATTACAAAACAGGTTATTTGCTTTAATACCCATGTCTCTGTAATCTTCGGGATCACTATCAAACCACATTTGAAATAATTCCCGTCTATTTCTCTTTTGGCATTTTACTTCACTTTTTCCCCCAACTAATAGTTGTTAATGTAAATTATGTCACTATTTATACCTAAATAGTTATTTAAATACACACGGCGAATACAATTTACAGCAGATGTAAAAAAGAAAGGTATCGACGCGACACCAACTGCTACAAGGTTCCGTATATAACTGAACAATTCTAAACGCGAGTCAGCTGTGAAGGCCACCGACCTCCACGCCGGCTCTGTTGGACTGCACGTACACTAAGCCTAATTATAACTAATTGTTTATATTTATAATTATTATGTTGAAGTTTCTACAACTATTGACTGAAGTTTACTCAAAATGTCGGTCACATTATTGCTGTTCTTAGAAAATATTACCATTAGCAAATTTCTTTTTGTCTTTCTTTCCTCTAAATATTTTATCTGTTATGACCAGTTTATTTGTAAAAGATATCTCCCTCGGCAACGTTTCAAGATTTCCTTCCCTCATGTTTCTTTAATGCAATTAAATTTGCCCCTGCATTAACCAAAATGGTCGTAGAGGATTGACGGAAACAATGTCCTGTGTCTGCATTTGGCAAATTTAAAAATTTTGCGACAATTTTAGGCATTTTACTAAACTGATGTATTTCTACTACCTACCTGTAACCTTTCCCATTTGAATATTTAAAGAAAAATGGGAACTTCCAAATTTTATACAGTGGCATATACGTTTATCACAAATAATCTCGGTTGTTTCGTTTTATTATCCGGTAATTTATTCAAAAGCTTTGATCCTAAATCATCTATATCAATCAAATTTAATTGATACAGTTCATCACAGCGATATGCACCGACAACACCAAATACTAATGCAACATAAGAAGGAAGAAGTCCCTAAGAATTCTTGAAACACACTTTTATGTTTTTGCAATATGTTTGACTTGGTATTTGATGTAACGTCAATTTATTTACTTAAGAAAAGATACATTTGGATTTGCTGCATGTCGCTAAAATGCGATATTTCACAGGAAAATTGATATTAATTTTCTAACAGATACACTTGTCAGTTGTGGAGATCTGAATATTTATTTAAAAACTATGATTTACACCGTCCTTTTATTATATCAGTAGGTAAAATAAATATTTTTTATGATTTAGACTTGCCTCTATTCAAATGTCAAACGCTTACTGAGATATCTGTATTTAGGCTTTTAAATGTTGTTTTGCAGAAATACATATTAAGGGCTGTATTTCATTAGTTGCTGATATTTGAATATAGGTAAATTAGTTTAAATCATAACAAATATTTAATATAGCTCAAAATAAACTGTATTAATTAACAATATTTGTAGAAAACTGAATTCTTTTGAAACGATGTATTTAGCGATAGGCAACGAGTAAATTTTTTTACAGAAAATAATATAAGGTTTCCTAAAACATATTCATTTTCAGGTAACGAGCGTTCAAATAAAAACGTGGTCGAAGTTGGTTCTGACACATTGGACGTAGGGAGTAGCTTATAGCGACCAACTCATTTCTCAACGAGCTGTATAGCAGCTGTCAGTTTCAATAACGTTAATGACTATATAACTTTATTTTAAAGAATAATCGAACAAACAATTAAAGGAGCTGCGAAAAGTGTCCCCCTCCTTGTTATAACAATAAATTAAAGCAGCTGCTGAAAGTGTCCCCCTCATTGTTCCAAGCACTTTTCACACCTGTTCCTGAAAGAATTAAAGACATTTTCTAAGATGCTCGGGGTATTGTTAATTTCACGAATCTTGTCTATAAGTCGAGCCTGCAGATGGTTTAAATCAGGAATAGGCAGTTCAAAAATAGTGTTTTTAAGGAAAGGCCACAAAAAGAAATCACATGGCGTAATATCACATGACCTCGGTGGAAATTCATGTTCAGCATTGAGACTTATCAGTCGATTTTGGAAAACTTCCCTCAACATATTCATCGTCTCGCCTGCCGTATGTGCCCTTGCGCCATCTTGTTGAAAGTAAAAGTTTGTAATTTGATAATTTCTTCTCTATACCTTTGCGCAGTAAGAGTACCATTAAAAAAAATAGGTCCATAAATCCTCCTTCGATTGAGAGCACACCAAACTCCAATTTCTTGAGCGTGTATAGGGCCCTCGACAAAAAAGTTATCTGGTTTTTCAGAAGACCACATTCTCATATTCTGTGAGTTTACGTAACCACTTAAATGAAACCAGGCTTCATCAGAAAAAAAGGTGATATTATGAAGTTCACCGTAGTTGTTTAAAAACCATTCACAAAATACAGCCTGTCGCGGAAAATCAACTTCATGAAGTTCTTGCTGACAAGTTAAACGATAGGAGAACAAACGCTAATCTTTTTTTTAACACTGTGTATCAAGTACCGACTGATACTCCCACCATTTGTGATAAAACACGTACAGAAGTTCTTGGCGCATTTTCCATTATTTGTTGGACATTTTCTTTTAATTCTTCAGTCCGCTTTTTAGGTCGACCGCTTCCTTCTTTTCTTGTTACACTGCCCGTCTCACGAAAAACATTAACACAACGCTGAACTGCACTTTGAAAATTTTTGTACTCAACAACGCCGGGAAATTAATTTTGAAATTCTATGAAACATTCCTCAATAGAATACTTCCATATTCCATCAATCTTGTGTCCATTTCTAAAGTAGGACTCTACGATAAACACTTTTTGTTCTTGAGAAAACACCATTTTAAACGCTTTTTAAAACGAAAATATTCAAATTGATAGCGGCGATATAGCGCTTTGACAGATGACGTTTAAGTTCATTTGCTGTACGCTACGCCCTACGTCCAAATTTTCAGAACCAACTTGACCACGTTTTTATTTGAACGCTCGTTATTTTCTTCCTTTACTAAATTCCATTGAAATACAATATTAAATATTAAATTAAGAGGCCTGTAACTTTTTTGGAATGCAAAATTTACATAGTTTTATTTTCGTCCAAAGCTTCTCTTTAGATATGATCCATTCGTTTCCGACCATCCTGTATCAAGAAGACACTGGTGTTCATTAAATCTTCAAAAAATTGTCACAGAACTATTACGGTAGAAAGCAAAACGATTAGGTATATGTGGTAAAAATTTTATTAAATTACCGAAGGTATTTTTCTGAAACAATGTTACCCATCCTGTTATGTCCTTATTTGATGAGTTACATGTTACATTAATAAGTATTTGATCAAATTATTGAAAAATTTAATGAGAATTATAGTAAAAATATATTTCATCCACCCTGTTTAATTGTATTTGAAAAAAATGTGTTTTTATAGTTGATCAGATTGTTCGTCGCCTTGCGACTAACCGAGAAGGTTAAAAATAATTTGGCACCTTTACTAAGAAATGTATTTCTCTGTTCTACTATAAATCATTCCTGGGGCAGACATTCCATTTTAATTGGACACTTGGTACATATGTATCGAGAAAGGGAATAGATAAGGATTAGAAAAAAGAAAATGCTTGCATTTATAATTTTTTGGGATTTTCGGATATTGTCTTTTGGAACTGGAATATAAGTAGATGAAAATCAAAAAGAGTACCCAGAGATAGAGACAAAGCCAAATTTCTTTAAGTCTTCTTAATATGATGATATTTGTATTTGATACATTGATTATGATGACATATTTGGGTACAATAATATAAGGATTCTATTTAGTCTCGAATTATGAGAAGTATAGAAATAAGAGTCTGGCAAAAAAAAACTTAGCGGATCATGTTCTCTTTCTAACACACCTATTATGTTTAAAACTCATTCATTTGGTTATACATATCTCCCTTATTATTAAAGATCTATGAAATCATATAGTATTATATTTTAAGAAAGCATCATATCCAAATGTGTAAAAATATGAATTGGCTTTATTGCAAATTTTTTTGACATTCAATTTTCACATACGCAAATCAAACAAAAAATGTGGTCTCTTCCACAGTAGACTAGGCGGTATCTGTTTGGTTTTAAGTGAATCGTATATCCACGGAGATTTTTGGCTTTTTGCCTTTCAAATATCACTAGAAATGAAAATATTTCTATGCGTATAAAAGAAACGTGAGCTTAACTTTTGGCGGCACAATATGTTAAAAAAATTCGAAAAATGTCATATTTTTCTTCCTATTTAATTCTGTATCTTTTCAAGAGTTGATTTTAGGCGAAAATGGAAAAGGAAAAAAATGTTTGTAAGTAAATTTTACAAATTATAACTAATACAAATCGAATGAATCATGATTATTATTGTCAAAATAGAAAAAATCGCCAAAAATGGGGTTAAAAAACATTACTTTCTAGGGAATTCTTTAGGGGTCTTTAAGTTGGGTATAGGACCTTCATACGTGGCTCAAGTTCATGTTATGTAGAATCATCGCACCTAATTTCATCAAAATCGGTTCTATAGATTTTGCATAATAATTTTGCAATCCAGATTTTGAAAAAAAATTCCAATTTTCAAAATTTTGCACAGCAAAAACCAAGACCCTTGGATATTTGAAAATTTAATCACATATAGAAGGGCTCTCAAGCTTTCAAACGCTTTTTGAAAAATTCCAATCCGTCAATTAGGAGAGCTTCGGCGCTTGTTTAAACATTGGTCGAATTTTTGTACTTATAAACAAATAGAATAACTTTGTGAATATTCAATCAAATCAAATTTTGAAAGCAGGTTTTAAAAATTATTGGAATGACGCTTCTTTAAAAAAAAAAAACAGTTCGATTGGTCAATTAGTTACGTAGTTATAGCCGATCAAAGTTAACCGTCATTTACAGTAAATGTACTGGGACATCTGGGCTAATATTTCGAAAAATACCTTTGGTATTCCGAGTACTTACCAGGTCTAAGTTTGCAATACTTTTCTTCATTGGCAACCTACTTTAAAACGCGTTTAAAGTTATTTATGCAAGCGAGAAATTCAAGTAAATCGTACGGGTGTTGGTGGTGGTGGGGGAAGCAGAAAGCGCGGCCGCTTCGGCCTGCTCGAAATTGAATCGGCCTGTTCAAAACCGCCACGTGCTTACAAATTTTTAATATCTCAGAGGTCCGATTTTGATGATTTTTTTAAATCGATATCTCGCGATTTAAAAAAAAAACAATTAGTGTATTTTCAAATGCCTATCGTTAATAATTATTATTGGTCTTCCAACAGTCCGATAATTATTTATCTTTAAACTCCCTTTAATTATCAATTTTATTTTTTTATTTTATCAAAGGTAAGTGCATAAACTTATATACAGTTTATCAAAGATCAAAAACAAATTTATTTAAATATTCTAAAATTGTTTAAACAACAATTATTTTCAAAATATATCGAAAATTAGTAATTAATTAATTATTAATTTAATCATCAATTCTTTTGTGATTACTGATTAAAGTATAATTCAAATATTATTTACTGTTTAAAATATAAGCAAATGAGAAATTAACTCATTATATTACAAAAGTACAAAATTATAGTACAAAAATTCGACCAATGTTTAAACAAGCGCCAGAGCTCTCCTAATTGACGGATTCGAATTTTTCAAAAAAAGTTTGAAAGCTTGAGAGCCCTTCTATATGTGATTAAATTTTCAAGTATCTAAGGGCCTTGGTTTTTGCTGTGCAAAATTTTGAAAATTTGCAATTTTTTTTTCAAAATCTGGATTGCAAAATTATTATGCAAAATCTATCGAACCGATTTTGATGAAATTTGGTGTGATAATTCTACATAACATGAAGTTTTTTTGAGCCAAGTATAAAGGTCCTATACCCAATTTAAATACCCCAAAAAAATTCCCTAAAAAGTATTGTTTTTTAACCCCATTTTTGCGATTTTTTCGATTTTTACCATAATAATCATGATTCATTCGATTTGTAACTAGACATGTTTTGTAAAAAATTTATTTGCAAACATTTTTTTCCTCTTCCATTTTCGCTTAAAATCAACTCTTGAAGAGATACATAATTAAATAGGAAGAAAAATATGGCATTTTTCGAATTTTTTTAACATATTGTGCCGCCAAAATCCCACGTTTTTTTATGCGCATAGAAAAATTTTCATTTCTAGTGATATTTTAAAGCCAGAAAGCCAAAAATTGCCGTGGATATACGATTCACCCAAATATGGACTCTTTGAAACAGATACCGTCTGGACTACAGGTGAAATTTATGCCGTTGTATTCGAGTCCAGAAAAACGGAATCTGACATAGAAAATGCTCCATAACCCTGTGCTTTTTTACTATCCTAAAACTTAAAAACAATAAAAACTTTGAATACAATAGGTTCCTCTGAGGCATAGCTTTGGAAACGGGATCAGTTCCTGCAACTCCTTCGTTTGAACAGAAGAAACCATCCCTAATTCCTAAAAATCAATTAAAAGAGAGCTATTAAAACTAATTACTAAAAACCACGGTATTGCTTTAGTGCAGCCTTTAGATGTAGTTTTATAACCGAGTGGATTTTCTCGACTCGTTTGCTAGTGCCAGGAATTTTGATATACCGGGGCTTCATCCAAAGAGAAAACGTAAAGTTGCAGTAAATTGTTGGAGCTTCAAGAAGTACAAGGTTACAGGACTGATTTTGTTTTGCTGTGTCCGGGATATGTCTGCAATAATGAGTAACTGGATGTAGTAGAATGTAGAATTTTAGTTGAGTTTTTAGGTTTTAGAAGAGGTTTTCTGGTGTTCAGCTGAAGCTGAAGGATTGGTGTGCCCATAGAAAAATCCACTTAATGCAGAGTTTTGATTGCTTTTTAGGTTTTAGGGCTTTTTTGACAACCAAAAAGAATTGAAAGGTGATGAAGCATTTCCTACAGCGGTTTCTTGGATTAAACTAAACTTTTTGTACGTCCGTGAAATCCGTCTACTAAATGCTGAAATATACATAAAATAAAACAACACCCATTATGAGAAAATAACAGTGTTACAAATATTAAACTTAATATTTACAAACATAATCGGTTAACTCTCTCTCTGGAACACCCGTTATAACGTATTTCCCCTATGCAATTTCAAGCAAATGATAATTAAACCATAAATAGAAAGTGTAAAATCAAACAACTTAAATTGAGAACGATTGGATCAAAACATTGAAATATATTGAAAACGCTGCCCACATATTTGACTGTATCTACTTATTACTGAAATATTGAATTACAGTATACATGGGAAAAAAGACGTCAGAATTCAGATTGAGGACAGCCTTACGCACAGACGAACGAGTACGTTTGATGAGTGAAATTGTAACGGGTATACAAGTTATCAAAATGTACACATGGGAGAAGCCTTTTGCTAAACTAGTTGAACTTTCAAGAAGGTAGGTTGCTCCAAAACGTAGACGTAAATCACTTAGTGTACCACTCATTTTTCTAGAAAGGAGATGGAACAGATTTGGTCGAATGGAATCATAAGAGGGATTACCATGTCATTCAATTTGGTTCTGAACAGAGCAGCTGTTTGTATATGCATACTAACTTATGTCTTAACTGGAAATGCAATCAATGCTACATACGCTTACACTGTTTCGTCTTATTATGCAACATTACGAATGGCTGTAGTAAAGTCTTTTCCACAGGCTGTAACGCAACTAGCCGAAACCAGAGTCTCTGTGTCTAGAATTAGACAGTTTTTGATGTATGAAGAAATAAACATTTGTCACGATTCTAATACAGCCGAAGAAAATAAAATCTTTAAATCAGAAAATACTGCCGTAAATGGTTCACTGAAAACTAATGATGGAAATAATTTAAAACCAAATGAATCCATAGGGGTACATTTGAAAAATGTGTCTGTAAAATGGAATAAGTCTCTACCTGACAATACCATAGAAGACATCACTTTTGATGTTAACCCGAATCAGTTAGTAGCCATCATTGGACCAGTAGGAGGTGGTAAAACCACTCTTCTCCACGCCATCTTAAAAGAATTGCCTCCTGTGGAGGGTACAGTCAGAGTGGACGGATCCTTGTCATACGCCTCCCAGGAACCATGGCTTTTCGGTGGAAGTGTCAGACAAAACATTGTTTTCGGTCAGGCATTTGACCCGAAAAAATACGAGGAAGTAGTAAGGGCTTGTGCTTTAGAAAGAGATTTTACCCTTTTGCCATATGGAGATCAAACTCTCGTCGGAGATAGGGGTGCCATGCTGAGTGGAGGACAGAGAGCTCGTATTAACCTCGCCAGAGCGGTGTACAAGGAAGCAGATATATATTTGCTGGACGATCCTTTATCTGCTGTAGACACGCACGTAGGAAGGCAGTTATTCGATGATTGCATTTGTGGATATTTAAAAGGTAAATGTGTAGTTCTGGTTACTCACCAACTTCAGTACCTGCAGGATGTGGAAACTATTTACCTTATTGATGATGGCAAAGTTTATGCGTCAGGATCCTACTCAGAGCTACAAATCTGTGATAACGAATTTGTAGAAATGTTTTCAAAAGCTCACGAACAAAAGGAAGAAGAAATACATAGTCAGTCGACTGATTCCAAACACGTGAAAACAAAGAAATTAGTCGCTACAGCTAAAAGAACGCAAATCCAGGAAAAGGAGTACAAACAGAGCGGTGACATTTCTTGGGAGGTTTATAAGAGTTATTTTAGAGCTGGAGGAAACTGGTTTATAATAACGTTACTCATATTTGTCCTTATTACTGCCCAACTTGCAGCGAGCGCATCTGATTATTTTGTCACTGTGTGGTAAGCATGAATATTCAAAATATTCTTGAATTTATCTTTAAATTATTTTGTTTTATATTATCTGTTAACATTTGTTTTATAACAGTTTTTTATCTATTCATTCATTAAAAAGAATATACTCAATAGGGAATACAGATATTAAATATACCGTGTGTAAAAATTAATAGTAACTTGATATTTATTTTTAGGGTGAATTTAGAGCAATGGAGATTAACACAAGCTAATGCAACCTTCAATAATAGTTTTGTAGACAATGCACAAGAATCCAATAGGCAAAATACAGTACAGTCTGTTCTGGATCTCGTTTTAACAAAGAATACGTCTGTGATTATTTATACAAGTCTGACTGTAGGAACAATAGTTGTGACGTTAACAAGATCAATTTCGTTCTTCAAATATTCTTCTGTTGCTTCAGTCAAATTGCATAATCTTATGTTTGATAAAATCGTCTACGCCCCTATCAGATTCTTCAACGTAAATCCTCCCGGAAGGATTCTTAATAGATTTTCGAAAGACATAGGGGCTTTGGACGAATTACTGCCATTATCCTTTCTAGATACTTTAGAGGTAGGTGGGTGTAGTTATTTAGAGTATATTCATATTTTAAAAGTCAAATCAAATCAAATCAAATCAAAAAGTCTTTATTTGGCGGGGCTCAGCCAATTTCTGCTTAGGCCCAACTACTAGTGAATACAGTGTTTTTATAAAATAAATACTAAAACATTACAATAATAATTAGCAGTACTAAACAGAAATATGTAAAATAACAAAAAGAAGATAAATCTAATTCTAATAGGCACGGATGATAACGAGTGTAAAACATCTATATTTATCAATCAATCAGTCAAAAGTGAGACCATATTATACTAATATTTAGGAAGAAAGGTTTAGCTGCTATATTTTTAGAGTTAAGCAAAAATATCAGTACTAACAATGTCCTATTCAATTTCAGACTGGTCTAAATGTTGCAGCAATTACTATGCTTATCGGTTTCCTTAATCCTTGGATATTATTACCCACTATTGTCATCTTGGTTATATTTTACTATTTAAGACTGGTGTTTCTGTCAACCAGCAGAGCTGTAAAACGAGTAGAAGCAACAAGTAAGTTTGTATAACCTAAAATATGTTTTTAGAAACTTGAAATATGAAATGAATGTATATCTTTAAGTAACTGGCTTTTATTAATTTGTTTTCCTTAGCACGCAGTTCTATCTACACTCATTTGACTGCATCATTACAAGGTCTAACCACAATTAGAGCTTTCGGAGCCCAGAAGATCTTACAGAGAGAGTTTGACCATTACCAAAATATAAACACCTCTCCCTACTACATATTTGTGGCAGCAAATAGAACTCTAGGATTTTGGTTAGATTTTCACTGCGTTATTTATGTCGCGCTTGTCACTATTAGTATTTTGTTTATTGAAAAAGGTTTGTATAATTTAATTGTTTAACGCTTTAATCATTTCAATTTATATCACACAAGCTATAGATAACAATCTGCAATATATTTGATATTGGATATTAATTATTTTAGAAACATTTGGTGGGAATGTTGGTTTAGCTCTCACCCAATCCATCAGTCTGACTGCGATGTTCCAGTGGGGTGTCAGACAGTGGAGTGAGCTAGAAAACAACATGACTTCGGTGGAAAGAGTTCTGGAGTATGCTGTAATTACTCCAGAGAAAGATAAAACAACTAAGACGTTGCCTAGACTTTGGCCAGAAGAAGGTACTTTGAAGTTCATAAAAATGTGCTTAAGATACAGTCCAGAAGATGACTTCGTTTTGAAAGATCTCAACTTTGAAATTAAATCAAATGAAAAGATAGGCATTGTTGGAAGAACAGGTGCAGGAAAGTCATCTCTTATAGCGGCGCTATTTCGTCTTACAGATATTGAAGGAAGCATAGTAATTGATAAAATAGATACGAAGGATATTCCTCTAAATGTCTTGAGATCAAAGATTTCCATTATACCACAGGAGCCTGTGTTGTTTTCAGGAACCCTTAGAAAGAATTTAGATCCTTTTGATGAATACAATGATGAGGTATGTATCAAATGATACACATTTGTTCAAAGCACCAAATTTTTGGTATAATAATATAATTTTCCAATATCTAGTCTGTAATGAAAGAAAGCTTTTTAGTAACCTTTCCAATAGAGATTGCATTACATCGTCAACGTGATTTGAAACTTTCGAAATTTATCTACTGAAAAGCATATTGGTGGCAATCCGAGAGGGGCCGTGTTCGGGAGAAGATTTGACCCTCGAGTTCAAAGTAGAAACAATTTTTTACTTGTTCAATATTTTTGCACTGACATCTGTTTAATTCCATTGTCCATTTAAGAGATTTAATATGAAGAATAATAATTCATTTTTTGTGAACATTATTTCCCGTTTGAGAGAGAGAGAGAGAGAAATCCCCCAATGACGGCCTCTCTCATATAGGTCGTTAACAATAGGAATACGTGTTGCAGTAGGTATAAATAAGTTTGAGACTCTTAACAATTTTTTTTGTGATTAGTAGGTACTTAACACGTTGACTGCCGTACATACCTTGGGGGGTATGTACTCATTTTAAAAAATATTCGAATCTCAATAATCACATCTTTACTGTACCTTGTGGAAGTTGCAGAATCTGTAAATTTTAGAAATAATGATTTTTCTATTATTTCCTTTTCAAAACTCTTTGCGAATGAAAACGTTAGTATCCTAGGATATTACAGATACGTGCAGATACGTACAGATAAGTTTATAACAATAATTGTGTTATTTTTAATGTTATAGGGTCAAATGTAAAAAAAATTACATATCCCCAGGGATATGTACCGCACACAGAAGAAGTTTTGTTACATATCCCCGAAGATATGTATCGCATTCACGGACAAAGTACATTGAGATTATCTCGCAGTCAACGTGTTAATTACATCTGGTATTTTTCAGGTGTTGTGGAATGCTTTGAGCGAAGTGGAACTGAACCATGCAGTTTCCAGTCTTCCAGCCGGTTTGGATAGTAAAATATCTGAAGGAGGATCTAATTTCAGCATTGGGCAGAGGCAACTAGTTTGTCTGGCGAGGGCCATAATTCGCAACAACAGAATTTTGGTTTTGGATGAAGCTACTGCCAATGTAGATCCCTACACAGATGGATTAATTCAAACTACAATCAGAAGGAAATTCGCCAGTTGCACCGTGTTGACTATAGCGCACAGATTACACACAATTATGGATTCAGATAAAGTTTTGGTTATGGATGCCGGACGAGCTGTTGAATTCGATCATCCTTATAAATTATTACAAAATCCTGAGGGACTGTTTTATGAACTTGTTTTGCAAACTGGTGCCGATATGGCAGAAGATTTAATGGCCGTAGCAGAAGAAAACTATAGAAAATTATAATGATAAGAGTTTGTTTGTATTGTTGCATTTTAGAAACATATGTACAAAAATATAATTTTTATTTAAATGATTCTTATTACCCATAATTAATAACCACAAAATCATTTTTATTATTGTTATCCTTCTCTTATTTACAGAATATATGTACAAACATTAAACCCATGCAATATCTAAATTGATTTGGTTTAATTTGACATATAATTACTAGCGAGTAAAAGATTTAAATATAAACAATTATGCTAAGGCCCCACAGAAAGTTGTATAAGCTATTTTAGCGATTTATAACGTTCTTTGCGTTATTAGTTTTTTAAGCAGCCTTACAGAAAGTCCACCTAAAAATCCGTATTGGGTACCTGGGTCTCTATGGGTACATCAAATGAACCAAGATCGATAAAGAGCGAATACCATATACTGTTTCACTATATACTTACGACAATTTTTTAGGAAAATTACAGATTGATTCTTAAACTTTTGCTATAATAAACATTTAAAAGAATTAAACACCTCTTGCAAAGGACGTCGTTTCATTGAAGGAAAGTTATTTCACCAATGGTTCAAGTGCGAGTATTAAACACCATGACATCCCTCTAAATAATTTTTTTGGATAGCACAATTTGAATTATTTTATATAATTAGTAGCATTCTAGATGTACTTGTTGAACCAATTACGATAATCTAATTCCAGTTCGTAACCCATGGCCTGAGGTCACTATTTTTTAAAGAGATATTTCAGAAAATCACTTTGCGGACTTTTTTTTTATAAAAATCTAATTATTATCCTTAATAAGCACCACAATTATTTTCATAATTTTAGGTAAGGCCTAAAATTCTCAACAATACGCAGACTGGTATTAACCAGTTATAATCAACAGTGTTAGCCAATTTTCAATATTTTCAGATACGTCCAAATTGTAGACATTTAAACTGAAATAGAAACAACACATCTGAAACTTCAAACCAGCATAAAAAATATACTAAATTCTTGAAAGGACCCTGCAGAATCCTTATGGAAAGTAGCTTTCGGCATTTTTTTAAAGCTTTGCTATTTGATAGTTCCGATCGCGTGGAACAAAAGTCTCAATGTGCACAAAGTCTGAAAGTTAAATTTTTTCTCACACAAAGGCTGCAAAATTGTTGACACCGATGCGATCGAAACTAACAAAATTTTGAACAAGAGACAGAAGGCCGCAATAAGGAGCTACTATGAATGTAATTTTACAAAAAAGAATAATTGCTGTATTCTTACTATGCAGCGTAAAAGGGAAAAATCAACTTTCAGGGGTCGTAGATCCAAAACAAAGTACTTTCAGACTTTGTGCACATTGAGACTGTTGATCCATACGATCAGAACTATCACATATCAAAGCTTAAAAAGAATTAGCCGGAAGCCACTTTCTATAAGGATTGTGCGGAGTCCTTTGAGATACAGTAGTTTTAAGATTACCTGCGTGGACAGATTTTTAATAAAAAAATCCTTGATTTTCCGAAAAATCGTAAAAAAAGCAAAAGCATGAAATGAGGACATCTCATAAACGAACCACAGTGAATATAAATATTGCCGAAGTTATTGCCTACGTATCTCGATGTTTTATATTTACTACCGCTTTCTTGGTCTCTACAAATTTCGATACCTTCATTTAGTAGAATCCGCGCTGAGACTTGTACTTCCACATACAATATTTCCTTGATGGCCCAACCTGTACCCAACAATAAATTTTACATAAGTAAACGACCTTCATTTCTATTTTTGCAATGATTACTTACCAGAAAGTATACGCTGTTTATTCCAGTATTAGCATCAAAGTCACATTTATTAGCCATTTTACGTCAGTTGGAAGTTGAATTTTGGATCTGCAGAGTACTTACAAAATACATAAAATACCTTAAACCATGTCTAAACCAATAACTATAACCTATAACTATAATCTAATAAACGAAAATTGAGTTTTACATACTACACTATTCAATTTGCTAGCCGACGGTCGGCCGGTTGTGTGACTTGCCCATCCAATGCATGGGCAATCTGAAGTTGACGGGCGATGAACCTATACACGGCTCGATTTTACACCAAAATCCTATCAAATCGGTACAAGCGTGGACAGTGTGTAGATTGCGTAAGTGTATCAAGGGATTAAAGTGTGTAGTGTGTTTTTTAATCCTGAATCTAGATAATAAGAACTCCATCGTTCTGTAAAATGATGCACAAGCATTATTTCTAAGCGACAGATCAGGTAGGTATACATTTACAAGTTAAATAAACCCAAAAATACTTTAAAAAAGTGTGACGATTGGTGTTTTTAACCCTTTTCTATAATAATAATTGAAAAATCTGCTACAAATATAATTTATAAATTAAAACATTTTTATTATTTCAATGGTATGTACCTAGTTACAATAAAAATAATACATACTTAATAGTATATTAAGCATTAAGAACGGTAAGGGTAATTTACCGTTCGAAGACAATGTTTGGAGGCTGAGCAAAGCAAAGCCTCCAATTTTGTCTGAGAACGGTATAACTCTTAACTTTCGTGATGCTTATACTATATTTTACACGACCGCAATAAACGAAAACGAAATTATATATACGTATTTAATTTTTTATGTAACGTTAAAAATGACCTTTCTGAATAAATTTGCGAAGCAGATTTTTTGAAATCTACTGATGTTTATTGTTGTCACGGCTTTCTTAATTGACGAAATTGACAGTTCTATAATAGAATAGAAATTGAAAAAAACATGTACTGCTCTAATTTCTGTAAGGAATTGTACAAACTGTACATTTAATTTCAACATTAATAAATAGATTTAAAATACATCTTTCTTTTATATCAATTACCCACATTTAAAACTGAATTCTAGAAAACTCATTTCAAATCAATGCGATGTTGAAAATGTATATTTTGACAGTTATTCACTTACCGTTCTAGAACGGTAAGTGAATTACTTACCGTTTTGTTAGCCTTAGCAACCAGTAAGCGCATCCTACTGTCGTAGAAACAAACATGGTAAGTGAACAAAAAAAGCTTGATCGTGCAAAAAATTACTTTTCCGCCTAACTGGTAAAGAGCATGAAAATATTGTCTGTAATTATTTATTTGTGAAGTTTTAGTACTTTATTTAAGTAAGATATTTCTGTTTAGGCAAAATTAGGTTTATAAAATGAACCCCTTGACTGATCCTTTTAGGGCAAGAGGAGATTTAATCATTTATTTCTTCTTTTTAGTGTGGTAGAAGTACCCAATTAAATAAAAACTGTGTGTGAAACTAGACAAGTTCCTTATCAAGCCATTTACGAATATTGCTTTGTTTTGTAACAGTTGCTTAAAATGTTGAAAACAACAGAAATAGAATTCGCAAAGCACTTTATTCGTCTTCTGTGAGTTCGGTTTTAGAGAGAAAATAGCAAAATTGTATCCTAGATTTATCGTCAGTTCATATTGAAACCGCTTGTTAAAATGCAGGTTCTTGAAAATTTAAAAAAAACGAACTTGACATTCTTTATTAAAAAAAACATACCTATATTCAGCTAATTCAAATTAAACAATTTTTTCAAGAAAAAAATTTATAAAATGAAGTCAAACAATATTTGTCGATACTAGAAACCTAGGTAAGAAAGAAATATTTAACCCCACAGACAATGGGCTACTGGCTACTGGCTACATGCTTCAACTAGCATTGAAACAATAACTAAAAATGGTATGTCTAAATACAAGGTGTTAATGAAATAAGTACTCAAAAGTATGTAAAATGTGTCGAAATATGATGAAAACCTTAGTAGAGTTTTTGTCAATGGCGGCCCCTAAGGGAGATACAGCCCCTTGAGGGGGTAACTCAGGAAACAGTTTTTATTTCATAACTTCAAAACGGTTTAATATTAAATCACGAAATTTTGGGGTTATATTACTATTTATATGCTTAATAACCGGCATAACATACAAATTAAAATTTGCTGCAGGGGCGTAAGAAAATGCGGGACCTTGAGGCAAATTTTACAATTTTTTTTTGTACACAATTTTTTCCGCTTTCTGAACCAAAATTATGAAAATTTATCATATTTTGTTAGATTTTAATAGCACGAGCCGTTTTCTAGTAAAATCCATTTCCATAATTCATTACTTGCTTAAAAATTCTTACTATACTGCAAAATAAATGTATCAAATTGTGCCATGAGAAAATTACTAGGTATTTTTATTTAATTTTGCTTTTATACTATTATTATCGTAGTTATTATGTAACTGTTAACTAAATTAGGGTTTAATATCACAGTTAAGTAGATAGTTTTGTAGTAAACAGTAACATAAATAATTTTAAATGATAAAATGTTATTAATATTATTTTTATTTGAGAAACAAAAAATACCAAAAAAAAGACCTATGAAACATAAAATTTTTATTGTAAATGTAATTTCACCATTGAAGGTAATATTGCATTATGAGCTAATTCAGACACGGCAGAAACCGCGCCGCTCCAAACCTCACGGAGCTTATTTATGTTACCGTTTTCGAATTTGCTCACACCTGCCCGTCGCGGATAGGTGATCCGCGCGGATTCCTCTGTATCTAAACTAGTAGCCCTATAATAATTTAGTTTATTCTGTTTATTAAAGTATCTAAATCCAATGTTCTTAGATTGGAATATTGATTAGATAATCTAATCAGTAATTAACATATTTGACTTTGATACCTCTGTTAACTGTCATAAATAGTAATTTTCTCATGGCACAGTTTGATACATTTATTTTCAGCAGGAATTTTCCAGCACGTAATGAATTATTGAAATGGATTTTACTAGAAAACGTCTCATGCTATTAAAATGTAACAAGTGTACATTTTTTATGCAAAATATGATAAATTTTCATAATTTCGGTTCAGGAAGTAGAAAAAATTGCGTACAAAAAAAAATTTTTAAAAGCCTCATGATCCCGCATTTTCTTACGCCCCTGTAGCAAATTTTAATTTGTATGTTATGCCGGTTATTAAGCATATAAATAGTAATACAACCTCAAAATTTCGCGATTTAATATTAAACATTTTGAAGTTATGCAATAAAAATTGTTTCCTGAGTTTCC